ATTTTATAATCATCTTGAAACATTATTAAGTAGTTTAATCCATTTTTTTAATGATGAAATTGCTCTTCCAAGAACATCTTTCACTAAGTTATTATGTTTATGTCCTAACATCACATCTTTTAATATTTTTACTTGCATTATCATTTCATTCATGATATTTGGGTAATTGTTAATACCAAAATAATAATAATAATAATACTTGAGTAATTAGATCAAACTTATCATAATTTCTTTTTCTTTCTCTAGAAATTAGGGAGTATTAATTAATGGAATGAGTTATCAATAGGAAAATTAATTAAGGATGATAAGTATAATATTTAAAAATAATAATAAAAAATAAAACAAATGGGTCAACCCGTCAACTCGTGGGTTGACCCTAACCCGACCCGTGACCTGTACGGGTTGATAATACGGGTTACCTACGGGTTGCGGGTTGAGATGTGTAAACCCTAACCCGTTTTTTAAGGGTCGGGTTAGGATCGGGTTGACGGGTCGGGTGGATTTTTGCCAGGTCTACTGATAGCACAGCCACACACCAGACGTGACCCTCAACGGCCTATATCCACTCATCTACCAAAGACTAGGCACTTCTGGAATGGCTTTCACAGCAGTTATACAGACAATTATATAAAGGATTAATCAAAATCAAGATATCCTAAAATGATAATGAAAAAATTAAAATATTTTTAATAAATTAACATACAATAAAGATTTATTAAAAATATTTAAATAATTTTAAATCCAAACATTTAAAGTATAAAGACATTTGATTTTTATTTTTCTTATTATATAATATTATGCTAAAAATATTAATTTATTACAATTAAATTAATTTTAATTCAATTTTATACGTTTTAATAATTATGCATATGCAAGTTCTTTTCAAAAGTAATTATTAAATACATATAATTTTGGAAAAAAATTATTAAACACTAGTAGTTTTTAGGGATAACACAATACAAACACAGCAGTCCTCTCAGGCTCAACTGGCTTGGGCGTCCAACTGTCACTGGATACGCCCAAAAAACAGTTAAATTGGAAAGAGCCAAATTAGATCAGGTAATCAGGATGATGCTGCCTTCCTAATATGTGCATCAACACGGTTAGAACCAGCACTTCAACAAGAAAATAAGTACTAAATGCTTTTAAAAAACAAGCATAAAAGCAATTAGTTAGCTTACCAACACGCCCAAGAAGCAGCAGCATTTTCTAAAAACTTAAAATGGATGAAATGCAGATGCAATTTCAACAAAATAAATAAATAATAACAATAGTACTGCAAAGTTAAAACTGACACTGCTCTCAAACTCAGAAGTAGTACACCCCAAGATTTGTTGGTTCAAGCTAATGTCTATACAAACTGGGTAAAATTCTACTACAGATCATCAGAACTAGCTAAACAACTAATCTCAGTGCAGAAACCCAAAAAAAAATATGATTTAAGTAAAAGGAGTAATTCATCACATGAACCTTGAAAGTTACATTTCTTGATCAATCTTCATCCTTTCCGGTTACCCAAAACTCCTTGCAATCATATCTACAATCTTCCTTTGTGAATCCAGTATCATCTCAATCCGCTTGTTCTCCATCTCCATTCTATACCTCTCTGTTTCCCTCATTATCTCCATCCTCATCCTCTCTATCCCAGCAAACCGCTCAGCAAATCTCCTTATCTCCACTGCCAATTCTGATCCTCCTCTCCGCACTTCTGCTTCCACCACTCCCTCTTCTTCCTCCACTACTTCTTCTTCTTCCTCATCCTCAACTCGCCGCCTCTTCATTGGGTTCTGCAACAACCCAGAGAACCTATTCACAACGCTAGGCCTGCGGAGGATATAGTTGATGCTCCGGGACTTGCCAAAACCCTCATCATCATCCTCCTCTTCCTCAACTTCATCATCATCCTCTACACCGTTATCATCATTGATGTCGCTGTCGTTCTCTCTCAGACCATTTTCATTGTTTCGATCATCTCTGCCTGGAACCAAAGTCAATGGACGAGCGGATATGGGGAATGGCCCACGGTCAAGCGCGTCCATGGGGTGGTAATAGGGCCAAGAAGAGGCGCCGCCAAGGCTCTGACGCTCGGCGCGGTAGCGGCGGCGGAGCTTCTCCATCTTGTGGCGGCACTGAGTCGCTGATTTAGCATCTTCATCGGCAAGCCCGCAGCGGGCGGCGACTGTAATGGCGACTTCTTCCCACTGGCTGGCCTTGAGCGAGCCACGCTTGAGGGAGTACCACTTCTCCTGGTAGGCTTGGATGAGATGCAGGGTCTCTTCGTGAGTCCAGGGAACGGGTTGGGGTTTTCTGGTTGCCATCACGGTTTCGGAATCTGCAAGAGATGATGGGTATGACATTTTCGAAGTTCAAAGGTTAGGGTTAGCGCTTAGGGGGAGGCAGGTTGGGTTTTGTTGGATTTAGTGGGGGCGGCGCTACCGGTGTGGTGGTGGTGAGACGGTGGGTGGGTGGATGGCCTGGCCAGTTCGGGGTGGGGGGGAGCTTGGTAAAAATTGGGAATTTTTAGATGGGTTAGATCATGGGTCCATTTTGCAAAAAAACCCGAATCCGGATCCGGAGATTATAGCCCAATACAAGGTAGCCTAAAAACCTAAAGGGGCGCCAGGTGCAAGATTTGGAATTTTGAGATTGTTATTCTGAGCTAAGCCCCAGGCTATTGCTTGGGGAATTTTTTTTTTTTTTTTCATGTGGGTTTTTCCTAGAGGACACATTATAAAAAATAATAAAATTTAATTTTAAATTTATTAATTATTTAATTAAAATTATCTAAATAGTATTGGTAATATAAAATAATATTTATTTTATATTTTTTATAAAAATTTATTTTAAAAAAATGTAATTAGTATAGATTTAACTTATATTTGAGTTGAGTGAAATAAAAAAAAAATTTAACTAATTAAATTATAATATTATTTAAATATTATAATCTGATTAATAAAAAAATTTTCTTATCTCTCCCAGCAACCTAAATGTATTATTAATAATATAGTTAAAAAATATATTTAATATTAATTGATGTTAAAAAAATAAAAGTTAATCTTTATTAAATAAATTATTTAATTAAAATAAAACGCAAAACATTAATAATAAAATTAATATTATTAACTTTTATTATTTTTATTACCCATTAATATTAACATTAAAATATATATTAATTATACTTTAATGTATAAGGGCGCGCATGGAATAGAAAAAACCATTTTGAAATCTACGAGTTTCAGTTTCAGTTTCAGATGATCACGTCTCAAGAGGAGGTTGGAAACAAGTCTAGCCTAAGCAACCAGAATGTCAAGTTCGAGTTAGACTCGGGCTCGGGGGTAAGCAAGTACAATTAACCAGTATTAAAATTTTAAAACTGCAATATTTATTTAGTATTGAAAACTTATATTTATTATTTAACTTATTGAGTATAAATACACCTGTAGAAATATTTAATGTCCCTGTAAAATTCAAAGGATTTTATTAGAAATGATCTACGTCTGTTGGACTTCATCTTTTTCTTATAATTTTAGTTATAAATAATAAATAAATAACAAATATTTAGATATAAACAAAATAAATTTTTATAGACTATAAAAATAGAGAATAATACATATCAATTTTAATTTTTACAAAAAATTAGATCTTAATTTTAAATAATATTATTTCATTTAATTAAAATTTAATTTAAAATTTAGAAATATACTTTTTTAATTATTAATTTTTATATTTATAAATAAAAAATTTAATTTAAAAATTAAAAATTTACTTTATTAAATATTAATATATAAATTTAAAATCAATTATATTAAAATATACAATTAAATCTTAAATCCAAATAATAACATTTAATAAAATAAATATTTAAAATTTAAAATAAATTTTGAATTTAAACATAAGTATAAGGGTTTGGAGTATCTCTTATTCTTCCATTAATAAAGTTTTTGCTTATTTAAAAAAAAAAAAAGAAGAAAAGAATCAAATCCAGACCAGCAACAAAAACAAGAAGACACGTGGCGGCTCCCAATTACTGTTTTTTAAGGAGTAAAGAGTTAGACTTCAATTTTTTTTTATTTTAGTCATAAATAATAAAGTTAATACTTATTTGTCTTATTTTTTAAAAAATTATTTTAAAATTATATCGTTTTAATAAATTATAATGAAAAAA